CCCCCATGTTGCCAATTTTTAAAAATATTGCACAGTCCGAACAAAAGGTATCAGTGGTTTTCATCGTTCAACCTCTAATGGGTGTACAGTGTCCGGGAGGGGATCTATAATGGTGGTGACAATTGCTGGGGTGGCAACTTCTCAGGACCCCACCCCCGTACTTTCTCCCTGCCAGGTCACAGCTTCTGTGCAAGGCCCTGTAGTCCCGAAGGCCACCAAAACCCAGCCCCTATCATCACCCTCCTCTGGAGTCAGGGAGATTGTGTTACAACGCTGGAACCTAGTCTAATGCTCATCTCCAGCCTCAGTTCCCACTGAGGATTCCAACCACCTCCTGGGAAGATGCAATCTCTAAAGTCATCTGGAAATAACACTTTTAGCACCTAGTTTCTAGTTTGCATCTAAATTGTCACACATTTTAGAGAGATTTTTTAAAATAGCTTCTTGGTTTACACTTAACCATTAAGGATTTTTACTTGTTTTTTAATGTGCTGACCACAAGCCACATTATATTGGGCTACTGATGAGAGGCTTCCAAATATCTCTAGGCTTCCTGGGGGGGGAGGTTCACTGACTTTAAAAGTTCCAGTTTTCATCCCCCTTGCCCCGCCCCACCAACATCACCACTAGTGATCTCATTCATACCAGGATGCCATGTATCTGAGTGCTGCCATTTCTATTTATGCAGGGAATGATAGATCTTAGTTATTTGAAAGGCTTTCCCCAACCCCCCCACCCCGCCCTCCAGGCTCATGTAACTAGGCAGCTGGGAGAGGCAGCCCAGCCCACCTTGATGTGAGTGCACAGGGCAGAATCAGAAAGACCAAGGATTTGGAGAAAGAGCTTAATGTTTGTTGCGTTCACAAAAACCTTGCGTTCAGCAAATCCTAGCTCCTAACTGCCACTGGGAATGCAGCAGAGTTGAATGTGAAAGCCACAGGTTTGGGTACGTAACATTTGTGGATCTTTAGCATTTCTAAACTTGCCTTATGCCCTATCATCTTACTCTGATCACACACAATGTGCTTACAATGGCCTTGAGACTCACTGTCATTACTCAGAATTCAGTCAACTACACAGACCTTTTTACTGTTCCTTAAAGACACTGACCCTCCTGCCCCAGGGCCTTTGCACTGGCTGTTCCCTCTAACTGGAACATGCTTCCTCCAGATAGTCACAGGCCTCACACTTTCTCTTCACTCAAGTTTTTATATAATTGTCTCTATCAGAAAGCACATCTGCTCACCGTGTTTAAAGTAGCATGTGTACCTTTTACCCTGCTTTTCCAGCATTTATCACTACTTGGCACTTTATATACTTGTTTGGTTGTTGCCGGTCTTTCTTTACTAGAATGGTAGCTCATGAGAGCAGAGACATTGTTTAACTTGTGGACGTGGAGCCCTAGAACCCAGAATCGTGCCTGACACGTAGGAGGTGCTCAATAAACATTTGCCGCATTGTTTCACAAAGACTAACCCCATTACTCCCTCCACCAATGTCTATTTATGACTCAGTCAGAACAAAGTCTAATGTATTATGTTTCCTCCAGGTTTCTAGGGTGACCTTTTCTGGGATGCACTTTGATAAAGAAAAACCCCAGCATTTCTACCTAGACTGGTTTTGTCACTGTCCTGATCTCTTTGACTACTTCTGGCTCTGGGTCATGTTTCTGGAAATTATACAATAGATGCTCCCATTACTATACTTTTGTTATAAAAGAATAGACTATTACCCACAAAAATTCTGTTTGTCTAAGGTCAGACTCATGGGTTTCTTCATGCAGCCAGATGTTTCCCTCTGGTTTCTGCTGTAAGTGTTAAACCAAGGGTCTGCCAACCTCCTCTCCCCTTGCCCCTGCCCTGTCTTTGGGTCTGTGCCCAGAAGCCTTGTATTTTTCAGATGTGGGTTGTGACTTGTGACCCACTGATAGGTGATGAAATTAACTTAATAAATTGTGAACAGCATTTTAATAAAAACTAGAATAGAAACTATTGAAAATGTTTCCATTTTGAAACTGTGGGATATAGTCCAAAAAGTTTGAGAGCACCACTCTGGCCTATATAGGTTGAAAGAAGGTTTAGCATTATTTTTCTCTTTAGTTGTCTTTAGAATATTCTAGAAGGAGGGTTTTTGGCACTCCTGGTCTCAAGTGGGCTTGTGTTGAGTTGTAGAAAACAGGCAGTCCCCTTTTAAAATTCCCCCACAAGCAGTATGAGTGGTGGGCACACTTGTCCCTTTAATTGTATGTTTCATAAAGCAAATACACCTGGGGCACTGAAAATGGCGAAAGTTCTTCATATGAACACTCCATTCAAACCCTTGTACTAACAGACGTGATCAACCCTAGCATGGCTGCCTAAGAACACATCCCTGCGATGAACCAGCCCTCCTTTTGTGTTTCTGTCTGGAAAAGCTCAAGACTGTCAAAAGAATTTACCATTTGCTGTAGCCAACACCTGAGGATAGACCCCTGACCTTCCTTTCTTAGAGCGTTTACTAAAAAGGGCTTACAGCTGTAAATCCATCCTCTGTCCCTTTGAGATATACATGTATGTACCTCCTATAGCCCAGGAGTGTCTTTCCCAAGGACCTGATAAGCCATTCCTTTGAATGTAACTATCAGGAAGTAGAGGGCCTCTGCCTGCCAGTCTCTGTGGGAGGACAGAACCCTAACTTCAACACTGCCAGCTAGCAGACACAGCAGGGCTAAGCACACTTACTGACCAATGCTTTCTAATTTTTCACTTCCCTGCCTCTACTTCAGTGCCCACCTGCTCCCTCTCCCCTGTTCTCTGTTTTCCCTTTAGCACCTGCTCAGCTCTGCACAAAGCAGAACGGGGCTCAGCTCTTTCCTCTACTGTCAGTAGTTACTGGATAAAATCTGTTTTCTCTGCTTTAACTGTGTCCGGCTTTGTTTATTGTGGACAGCACGTACACACGCACGCACGCACACACGTACATCCCCACCCCACCCCACCCCCTCCTAAGGATAATGCTGCTTCTCAAAGACAGCTGAATCCTGTCGTCCTCATCACCCAGAGAGTTGCTCCTTTTTGTGCTTATTTCCCTATAGCATCTCTAAGTCATTAGCAAAGTCTTATTCAGCTGTTCCAGCCTGGTCTGTGATGTCCTTCGGGAAATTAAGAGCCATGTATAGGACTCTTTCCTTACAGGGATAAGAGTTGGAACTATGAGATCCAACTCTCTGTCCCCCCTGGGAGTTTCTCCCTCTACTGCAAACTTGGAGGAACTGGGTTAGTTTTACTAAGGGAAAGTAAAGTTTCCTTACACACAAACCTTTTTAAAGAATTTATAGTCAGGAAATCTCCTCTCTTCTTTTACTCTTTCTCCAAACTTCAGAAATCAGGGGACCTGAGAGATACTATGGTGCTAGGATAGCTAGAGGTCAACACAAGAAGGGTAATGAGGTTTCTGTGTTTGGAGACCTCAGGGGAGGCAGCAGCTTAGGGACTCAGGTGGATGACCAGAGATGGGGCAGACATGGGTGTCCAGGTAGCCTGTCATGCAGGAATCAATAACAAAGGAGCTATCTGAGTATGCAAGAAGAAAAGGAAAATCCCTAGGAGTTAGAAACAAGCATGGAAGGGAAACCAGAGTGATTGGTAATTAGGCAGGCTGATACTGGGCAGCTTGGGAGTGGGGGGATCTGACCCAAATTAGTCCCCAGCACCAAGGGTCTTGAATTGTGGCAGCGTATAAGAACAGAAAATAAGGGGCGCCTGGGTGGCTCAGTCGGTTAAGCGTCCAACTCTTGGTTTCGGCTCAGGTCATGATCTCAGGAGGGTGAGACTGCGCCCCACGACGTGGGGCTCTGCCCTCAGCAGGGAGTCTGCTTGAGATCCTTTCCCCCTCCCTCTTCCTCTGCTCCTCCTCCCGCTGGTGCGCGTGCTCTCTTTCTCAAATAAATAAATCTTAAAAAAAAAAAAAAAGAACAGAAGATGAAGTATGAGCCCACAGGAGGTAGGGGAGAATTGAGATCCTATATAATGGCCACAGCTCCAGTGAAAAGGAGGCTGGTCCAGAGGATGCCACACACCAGCAGAGAGCACCAAGAGTGGGGAGAGGAGCCAAGGAAAGCTGGGCAGATGCCAGGCCCTGGCCAAGCAGCCCAGGCATCAGATTACCACTTAAGCTCAGCAGGGAAACTGGAGGGCTGAGCAGTGAATTGAAGGTCAAAACCCCATTTTGACTCACAGCTGGTGCGCTGGCTGTCGGAGCTACTGCCCAGGATTAACTCCAGAGCACTTCCCTCCCGTGAGATAGGGCTGTGCTTCCCAAGCTTTTCCACCCAGAGTCCCCAAAGCAGAGGAGCCAGAACCTCTATTTCCAGGGAGGCCAGGAGGAATGGCCTAAAGTTATTCATGTGAGCCTACATTTCTTCAAAACCTCAGGTTTTCCTTTTCAGTGGCATAGGATCTTCGTAATGTTATCCAAAACAAACGAAACTGATGACAAGTTTTCCAGTGGTCAAAAACTACAGCTCTCCGTCTCACATGCCAAGTTCCATGTGCCCTGATTTGAGAAACACAGGTCGGTTAAGGCTTCAGAAACAACACAGTGACATTGGTGAAGGCAGGGTTAAGAGTCAGACCAGAAATCAGAAACCTAGAAGGGGGCCTCCTGTAAGAAGGGGTAATGCAGGCAGGATGAGAGTCATACAGCTTGCAAGTGGGTTGGTAAAAGCTTGTTCAAAGAGGCAATGAGACTTCAGGGAGGGAAAAGCTGTCTGCTTTTTTGCCATTCTATAGACCACCTCTGATCAATTCTATCCTATGATTTTATCGAACTCTGTTGAACCAACTGAAATGTTTTAAATTTCCACCTCCTAAATTAATTTCTATTCAGATACCACTTACTCATATCAACTAAAACAAGCAAAAAAAATTCACCTAGTGTAAAACACATTCTTATCCATTCCACACGTTATTGAATAAATACAAACTTTATTTGTATATTTATGTATAAACAATATCCTTAGTTTGATGGTTTAAAAAAATACAAATTCACGTAACCAAAATGCTTAAAGGATTTGGTCAACTAAGCATCAACTCTTTTACCTATAAATATGAAAATTCAGCCTGTCAAAATTGGTTTTGCAAGAGCCATATGTGAGATATTTGTGGATTTCCATGAAGGATGGCTCTTCAGATTATGAGATCTAATACAACACTCAAATCAGATGTTAAGGGAAAAAATGATTTTGCAACCCCAAATTAGGACCTTCTATAAGAAATTCAACTCACTTTGAAAACTCTGAGTACTTTTCTTTTTCAAAATCAAGTAGGATTCGTAAATGACAACAGTACCTCAAGTGCTTTTATAAATAGCAAAGCTATAGTTTCACAGCTATAAGCAAACAATATTTGTATTTCCCTGAGAGCACAGTTTGAGTTCAAGGGCAGTGTGTGAGTGTGTGTATTTCCTGAAGCCACTGATTGCAGAATGTGGTGACGGCTAAGAAGAGAACATTTATCTGTGGATGTTCAGGTGAGCTTAGCTCCCTGCCCATTTCAGATCAGCTTGGCAACTGGGGTCCTTTAACCTCTCCTACAGTTTCCATCCCATCACAGCCTCTGGGCCTCATTCTCTTTAGGTCCAGTAAAATAGGAGACCCAGCCAAGCAGCTCAGAGGCCCCCCAACAAGTGGGTCTGGCTGCCAGTCCTGTTCGAACTTGTGCCTCTCTTCTCCTGGAACCCACTTGCCTGAACCACCTGTTCCTTATCTCCCTTGCCTTTGAGAATGGAGTCATGCTCACAAACTCTAGGGACCATGGTATCATTTTCTAGACCTGTATCCTTAAACCTGACCTCCTTTTCCTCCTCCTAGCTCATCCTCTTCCTCCCAGCCAGGGGCGCTCTGTTCCCTCACACGACCTGCTTCCAGATCCAGTCTGCTGGGCCAAGATGAGCCACATGCCCTGCCTCAGTCCCCGGGGCCCTTTGCCTCTGGCTCATCTGGCACCGATCTGCCTCATCCCCCTGCTGGTGGGATGGGTTATGACAGCTACACAAACTAAATTTTTTATTATCTGTGAATGGAAATTAGATTTTAAGAGCTTCCATCTCTAGCTAGTGCCTAGAAGCTTAAATCCCGATATGCTTTTAAAGTTTCCCCAAATTACTTGAACTCTTTTCTTTCCCTAAAAGCTGCTGACTGGCAGCTTTAAGTGCAGAATTCTGTACAGCCTTAACAGCTGTAACTGTCTGCCAACCCATGCCATTATTGAGAATCTCTATTTTTTGAGAGCCAGGCACCTGAGATTTTACAATTCACCTGCATATCTGGTCACATATCACACTGAATCCTTCCTTGTCTTCATTTAGATATTCTGAACTAGTCCTGATACTTGGGTCCTGATGTTAGACCCAAATTTATAACACAAAGATCCTAAATCCTCACTTTCCCAGAGTAGGGCTGATCCACTGATGGGCGCAAAATTTGCTAATTACTCTTATCAAAGGACTGCCATGACAAGGGACACTCTTTTTCTGAGGGGCCCTCTCTGCATATGCCATTGATGTTGTCATTGGATATCCTCCTTGGAAGTTCTTCCCTGAAATGGTCTTGGGAAAATGATTTCTCTATAGCTCATAAATAGTTTCTGAAGGCGATCTCAAAAAAAGTCAAATATGTAAGCAATGGCCACATCATTGACCCAAGAGCACAGCTTTCGAAGATGACCACTGGGAGGGCAATAAAGACATAGATGTAACCTCACACATCTCATTTTTCTCTAACTTGATGAAAAGAAAAATTATAATGTCGACTCGTGGCCTGTTTACCGGTTTGAGTGTTTCTTGGTTGGGGGGAATTTGTCTTATTCATTGGTGTCCCCAAGGCTTGACAAACAGAAAGAACACCTTGAATGTTTGCTAAATGGAACTAGATTAAATTGTTTCAGTTGAAAGCTTCATTAAGATTATTAGTGCTCATGAGTAAGTGCATCACTTACTGTAATGTGTTCTAAATTTCCACAAATATATTTGTATTTTCCCATCCTGCTTTTCGGAGCAGGGAGCTAAACCTAACCTGACCCCAAGGCACAGAGCTTTTCACACACCGACATGTGTTTATATTTATTCTCAATGACCTAAGCGTACATAGAAATCTCATTTGCAATGTTCCAAGTCTTTTTTTTTTTAAATCAGCTTTGAACTTTAGCCTCTTCTAACCATAACTTTTCTATGAAAATTCAACACACTATCAACTCTAATATCTCTAACTTCCCAAACTACTCAGAAGTACAAGCACGATCTGCTGCATCTGCCATGAAATAACACTCTGTAAAGAGATTTAAAATCATATGATGAAAATAAAACACACTGGGTAATGCAGTTACTATGTTGTTACCATTGTTGCTGCTTTTAAGTACGGCACATGAAACAGGATCTCTTAATCTGTTTCCCCAATTTGGGGATTAGAATGAATTTCCAGTGAGCTCATCTGAAAGCTCTATCTCTTAGAGTGAAGGACAGACTCCATTCTTTGAGTCCAAATTGTGCCAGACTGATCTGAAAACCAAATAGAAGGGCTTCAAAGGATCCTGAAAACTAAGGTTCCAGGAAGGTGACAAGGACTCAGGCACAAGGACTCAAATCACAGTCTAAAAGGTAGAAAGTATACAGTTCAAAAAGAATCAGCCATTCCTGCAGTGGTCAGTAGTGGAGGGATGTTTACATTAAAAAAAAAAAAAAAAAAGTATTCTGAGTCTCTGGAAAATCCTTTCTACATTGTAATACAGGTGCTGGACACGAAGAGGCCAGGCCAGTGCCCTCTGCTGAAGGTACAATTCTGTCTGGGGATGACAGTTCTGGTCTGAATGTATCTCTATAAGGTACATATAAGAAATAGAGGTTTCGATAGGGGAAAAGTCTTTTATCTCTTCCAAAGCATATAGGTCTTCCCAGACCCATCTCCCGGTCCTGTCAGAGAAAACAACATATGAGACACTCTTGACAAGGAGCTGAAGGCTCTAACAGAAGAAAAAAAGAACAAAAAGAAACAATTTTATTTCCCTGCCTTTCTGAGTGAATCCTTTAGCAAACTTGTCAGAACAAAAAATGAGCCAGTTTTTGTTTCCTACTCGGAGATAGACAGCATGACAGAACACCACTGACCTTGCAATGGAAAAGACCTGGGTTTAGATTCCTGGCTTAGCTACTTACAATCAGAGTGACCAGGGGCAAAACCCTTAGCGTCTCTGAAACTCAGTTTCCTCGCCTGTAAAACTGAAGTGATAATATCCAGTCAGCAGGTCATTATGGTTAAATGAATTGATATACACAAGTGCCTGGCACAGAACCTGGCATGGGACAGGTGTGTCCTGAATGTTAAATATTCTTCTTCTTTCCTCCTGAGGTAGGTCACGCAAACATTCCTGGCTGGTCTAGAGTGTCCCAAAGCTGTGACTTCCAAGGAGTCCCACGGGAAGCCACGGGGAGCCCAGGTGTAGGGCCTGTAGCTCAAGCCCAGCCTGCTGTCTTTAGTGGCACGAACCCGGCGACAGATGAGGAGGAAGGTCTCCCGGCACCCGGTCCCGAGCCCCCGCGGCCCTGCCCTGCGCCCTCGTGCAGTCACACCGACACAGCCCCGGGCACGATCCTCCGGATGTGGGTGTAAGACTTCCTGATGGTGACGCTGCCGTGGTGCGACACCCCCCGGGGCAGGACGCACTCCTCTGTTAGTTTCTGGGCCTCAGGGTCCCAGCACAGCACAGTGGCGATGACCTCATTCTTCTCGTCCCGCCCCCCGGTGATGTAGAGGCGGTTGTTGCAGGGCGAGATGCCACAGCTGGCCCTCTCGTGGCTGAGCTGGGTCACCAGGCACCAGCTGTCCTCCAGGGGGCTGTAGGCGTACAGCGCTCTCATGGCCCCTCCTGAAGAGGAAGGGAAACACGGTGGGCATCTCGCTGTTCTTCTGGTTTTCTTCCCCTTTACCCACAAAAATCCTACTTCTGCTCGGTCAAATCTACCATCTTGCTAATAGAAAGGGTAGATTCGTGGCTCTCCCGGAAGCTGAGTGGGTATGCAGGGCAGTAAGTCTCACACTAGAAACACTTCGCAGAGCCCTTTAAACTCTGTGGCCAGGCGCTAATCACGTGCAAAAGGACAGTTGGCTTCAGGTGGTGCCAAAATGTACCCTAAGACTGCTCCCTGGAGGAAATACCACCTGGTGCATCGGGTGCACTCAGCTCGTCATCCCAGCTCTGCCACGTTTTTATTGTAACTGTAAGCCCTGGGACTGTGGTGGTTTTAAGACATGAGAAGGACCATGCGCATAAAGCACCTGCAGAAGGCCTGGTGCAGAGAAGCTATCAACACATGGCAGTGACATCTCTTTGTAGACTGAGCATGACCTGGGACACCAGTCCACATCACCATCTTAAGATGCACTTTGAAGTCATGAGACTGACCATACAGATACAGGAAACCTGAAGCAAGGGAGAGAAGGGGTTTTTCCTTAATCTCTTCCTGTATTTTGCCTCCGGGAAGCCTTCTCTGATCAGCTCTTATTTGCTGGAGTTACATATTTTTGGCATCTCCTTAAATCAGTGACTCTCAATCATGGCTGCACAGGAAAATCACCTGCACATTAGAAACACCTTGCACTGTTGGCCAGCGTCCTCCTTCTCATTCTGGTATCATTGGTCTGGGGTAAGCTCCAGCTATGCATAGTTCTGTAAAAAGCTCCCCAGGTGATTCTCATGAGTAGTCAGGATTGAGATCCATCATCCTTAACAATTACATGCCAACTGTGGTCTGGCCAGCCAGGCTTTCCTTTTGGCTAAATGCAACTTTTCAGAGCCCCCAAAGCAAGTGGAAAGAGTAAACTTCCCATTAACACAAAATAAGAAATGATGATAGCTACTATTTATCAGTCATTTACCATATATACTGTGCACATTTCAATTTCTGTACATTTGCTAATGTTTACAATATGCTTCGTTCCTGTAGCAACTTCTGGCTCGTCCACTGGGCCCCACTGTCAGTCTGCTTTGTATGTCCCCTAAAAGTAGGCTGTTTCTGTATCCAGGACTGGAAGGTAAATTCCACCAAGGTCTGGACCAATCCCATCTTCTCTTCCTTTTCAACCTCACCCACATCACCCAGGAATCTGAGTTCCCAGAAGGGCCTCATCTGATCTACCTGCAACACTGCATGGGTGGGGGGCCTCAGATGAATAAGATGCCATTCATTCACTTACCAACAACATAGATGCGATCCTGGAAACTGACTGCATTGATGCATTTAGCCTCCACTGGCATGGACGACTTTAAACTCCATTTATTAGTTGAAGGGTCATAACACTGAGTCTTGTCTGTGGCCAGTTTCCCATTGGGTCCGCCCCCAATCACATAGAGCTTCTTCTTGTGGCTGGTGGCTGCGAAGGAACTGACGTGGACGAGAAGGGGCGCTGCCTGCAGAGGCACCGGGAGAAGCTGTCAGCCCCACAGCTACAGACTGCTCCCAGACTGCTGCTGCGGCTCACAGGACACGGGCCAGGAGCTGGGGACACAAGCCTGGGCATCCTTTGCCTGAAGTCACAAGGCCTGTGGGCTTGACTCCCTTTGAGATGCAGAGAGGTCAAAGCATGTATTTCCCACCCTCCCTGCAGACTCAGGACAGGCTAGAACAAGCTGAGTGATGGATGTTTCCAGCCTGTTTCTTCCAAAGTCCAGCTATCAGGGGAGAAAAGGTGTACATAGGAATAAACATTTATACAGATGAAACCAGCCAATGTTGGAGGAAAATGCTTTCTCAAACATGCATATTTATATTAATTCATGTGTTCTTTCATTTAAAAAATATTTACTGAGTGCCTACTATGTGCCAGGTATTGGCCATATTGCTTACATCTAGGAAGAAAAGCTGGTATAAGGGTTTCAGGTGGCCATAGGTAAGCAGACTCCCACTCTGGGGTAGCATGAAGATTTGGGGATTAAGCCAGACTTGTGCTCCCACCCTGTGAACCCCACAGCACTCAAGGGCACTTCCCAGAGCCTCTTATCCATTGACATGGCCCTCTTGGGTCATGGAGCAACTCTGTAATGGGACTTGACAAGTTGAGCAGATCTGGGGCACACCCCCATAAATATTAAGGGCTATATAGCAGTTTTCAGGTTGACAGATCTTGCTTGGCTGGATGCCATGAAGACCTGGCTACCTTTGCTTGTGCCTCTGATGATCATGTTTTATACTCCCCAAAGTGGAACATACTCTGACATACGATCTGATAAGGAGAAAGAAAATTTGGGATTGGGCCTAACCTGAAGATATAGGAATTGAGTTCACTTTACTTTTTATTATTATTATTATTGTAAGGACACTTAACATGAGATCTACTCTCTTAGCAAATTTTTTCCCACATCAGAGGGTAATGTGCCAAGGTTGTAACAAGGTTTGAGGGAGGCACGTGTCATACAACGGCATGAACACAAAATCATCATGCTTATGAACTACAAAAGGATCTCTCTTAACACATTTTTAGGCATAAAATGCATTTTGAGCATAAAATGCAGTACTGTTATCTGTAGGCAGATCTCCAGAGCTTATTCACCTTGCATAACTGAAATTTTATGCCCACTGATTAGCAATGATGTACACCTAAGGTTGAATTGCTAAAGTCTTACAAGCAGCATATGACTCTGACTCAGTAAACAGTGTAGTAAAGGGATCCCTGTAGGCCCACTGTGGAGACAACAGCTGGCATCTGAGGAGACAGAGACTCTGAGCTAAGACGTGCAGACTGAGGATGGGACCAAGCCTCCCCTCTCCAGCTGGGGTTCTTGCCCACACAGAGCTTCCCCACCTGGAAGGAAGCTGTTTCTGTGACCTGATCAGCAATGCTGAAGCAATGGCCCCTTTCAGGAGGGAAGCTCAGAGCCACCAACAATGTTCTCAGTGCGAGCAGAGAAATCAGAAGGCATATACCTACATTGGCATATACTTTTTATTTTTTAAGCTTTGAAGTAGTAATACAAAGTTACTCATAGAAATAAATCTCCTGGGGGCCTGAGTGGCTCAGTCGGTTAAGCCTCTGCCTTCAGCTCAGGTTGTGATCCCAGGGTCCTGGGATTGAGCCCCACATCGGGATCCCTGCTCAGCGGGGAGCCTGCTTCTCCCTCTCCCTCTGCCCCTGCTTGTGCTCTTTCTCTCTCTCAAATAAATAAATAAAATCTTTAAAAAAAAAAAAAAGAAAGAAATCTCCTATACCTCTGACCAGCAGTTATGGAAGGGGTCGTAGGTCTCCACGTTGTTGATCCTCTGCAAGCCATCAAAACCTCCAATCACATAGACCTTGCCACCTAACACCACCATCTTATGCCTCCAGCGGCCTATGTTCAAATACTCAATTTGAATCCATTTGTTGATTGAAGAATTATATTTCCAAACATCGTGCTGTGTTTCTTTGCCACCTAGAAGAGATACAGAGCATTTAAGAAACCACCAGATGTGTAAGAAATATAGCTTGTCCCATAATTTCCCACAGTCCTTAAGAAATCGTGAAGGTGTGTGTCGTCTGGTTGGGGAGACATAGCCAACACAGAGGGATAGAGAGAGCCAGTGTGCGGCTGGGGTGAATTGTGTACCAGGACTGTGTCCTGTGTCACCTCTGTGCCGTGAGAGTTCAGAGAAGAGGTGGCTGAATGAGTTGGGTTCAGAGAAGTCTTCAGGGAAGCTGCACCCAAGTCCATGTGGGTGGATAGGGGCCAGCAGGCACCTGGACTCAGTGTCTGTGCAGCCAAGGGGCAGGAAGTAAGGCAGGTCAGGTGAGGTTGGACCATTGCGGGTGGTGATGGTAGGCCCTTGACCAGCAGCCAAATTAGAAGGCACTTAAGTTCTGTTTGCTTACTTATTTAGACAAATGCAAACCTGGAAAAATCACCAAGAAATCTTACAAAATTGTCTCAGTTCAAATCTCCAATCTATACAAAAAACATAAGTGGGATTTATCCTATTGTTAAATATTTTTTTTATAAAAGAATGAGATGCTCACAATAGGTAATTTGAGAATGAGCTGGTAAATATTTTTTTTCAAGACCACTCTCTCAATAAACAGAAAATACATAATTCAGTTAGGGCGCGAGACCAAGATAAAGGAGAAGTGACTTTTTTGGTGACTTTAATAAAATATTTTATCAGCTTTGTGTACCATTCCTCATCAGCACAGAATACCACCAACTACTTAAAGCAAAAGATGTACTTTTCAGACTTATAAATATGCACTAGTAGGGCAATGCGTATCACTGATGATGCTCTGTGTCCTGGGTGAGCGTTTCTCTAGGGTAGAGCCCAGAAGTGAGATTTCTAAGTCAAGGGCACACACACTTCAAATTTTTACAGGTGTTGCCAAAGAGCCTTCCACAGCTGTCCTGGTTGACCTTCCCCTACCCTACCCACAGCATATATTAAGAGCATTTTTTGGTTTGTTTTGTTTTATAGGCTGATGGAGAAAAGTAATGTCATAGTTTGGTTTTTCCTGGCTGCTAGGGAGACTGAGCTTCTTCCTCTTCCATGAATTTTTTGTTCATATAGTTTAACCATTTTTCCTTGGGTTGTATACCTTTTAGAGCTCTCTATTCAAAACAGTATGTGTGTTATTGATCTCATTTAGGTAGTGTCAAAAGTTATAAAATAGGGGCGCCTGGGTGGCTCAGTCAGTTAAATGTCCGACTTGATTTCAGCTCAGGTCATGGTCTCAGGGTCATGAGATTGAGCCCCACCCGTGTTGGGAGTGTCTGCAGGGAGTCAGCAGGGAGTCTGCTTAAGATTCTCCCCCTCTGCCCCTCCCCACCTCACACATGCACACATGCGCTCTCTCTCTCTCTCAAATAAATAAAATCTTTTTTAAAAAGTTATAAAATAACTACATGCTTTCAAAGAAATGTATGTACACTGTATTAAAAAGAAAAAAAATCTATGATTTTTTTACTTCAAGATGTAAAGGAAGACCTGATTAAGTGGGAAGCATTTCATGTGCATAGATGAGAAGACAGGTTATTGCAAAGATGTCAACCCTCCCCAAGTTAATTGATACATTCAGTGCCTTCAGAACTTTCCAGGGAACTTGAAGATATTCTAAATTTCATCTGGAAGAGTAAATTTGGAAAAATTTCTAAGAAACTTTTGAAAAAGAATGAATAAGGCTTTCCTAGCAATATCAAAATGTAGTAAAAAGCTATGATAATGAAAGCAGTGTGGCATTGGCATAAGATGAGACAAACTGACCAATGAAAAGAATACAGAAGAGACTGGAAGATATAAACATCATTAAATAAATGGTATTAGAACAACTGGCTATTTATTTGGAGAAAAATTAAGTTAGATCCTTCTTTCACATTACGGATAAAATAAAATTAAAAAATAAATGGTATAAAAGTAACTGGAGAATATATAGGAGAAGATGTTGATGATCTTGGGGTGGGGAGGAGCCTTCTAAGCATGACATGAAACATAGCATCACATAAGAAAGACAGTTACTATATACAATATAAATCAAAGTTAAAAGAAAATCATAGTCTGAGGGAAACTATTTGCAATACAAATAGCAAAGGATATATAATAAGAGCTCCAAAAAAATAATAAAAAGACAAACAGCCAATAGAAAGACAAAGTGTAGGAATAGACAATTTTTAAAAAATAAAGTGTTAGCTAATAAATATATGAAAATATGCTAACATCATTAATGAATTAATGAATAAATGAATTAAATATTCTAGGCTATTAAATATGTAATTGATAATAAAAAATATTAGCAAGGATGTAGAAAATGGGCACTGTTGTTCAACACTGGTTGAACTGTAAATTGGTACAAACTTTCTGGAGGACAATTTAACAATATCTACAAAAATTCTAAATTGACATATCTTACGACCACCTCCAGGAATTTCTCCAAATAGCAGCACAAGTTCATAAATACATGTGTATTAAAATGCCTATTACGGGGCACCTGGGTAGCTCAGTGGGTTGAGCACCTGACTCCTGATTTCGGCTCAGGTCATGATCTCAGGGTCATGGGTTCAAGCCCTGCATGGGGCTCCGCGCTCAGCATGGAGTCTGCTTGTCCCTCTCCCTCCCCTTTTGTTCTTTCCCCTCTCTCTCTAAAATAAATAAATAAAATCCTTAAAAAAGTAAGATAATAAAATAAAATGCCTATTGCAGTATTTTTTCCAGTATGAAAATAAAAGCTAAAAAAATTGTGTTTCATTAATTCAATAGACTTAATCCATATGATAGATTCATTATATCAACATGTAATTATGTCCAAAACAGATTGTTAATTGAAGTACAAGTTTCTGTGATTTAACTGTGTGTAACAAGCCTGCCTTCATGCATTGCTTGTATCATTTCTCAATAGACAACAACAAATCTAACAGAGGGAAAGGACAAACTGTAGAATAACGTGTGTAGTGTATGTGACACAGACTGACTATGATTGCCAAACCTGTCTTTTCCTCCTGCGCACAGAGCTAAACTACATTTCCTAGCCCGCCTGCATGGGGGCTGGCGGTGCAGGGGGGCATGGGGCTACTTGTTGCCAAAAGAGTGTGAGCAGATTGATGCCTCCCATCAATAAATAAGGGTTATTACCTAATCTATGGTATTAACATACCCAGGGAAGAACTGACCTGCCCTTGATTTTGGAGGATGCCAGTTCTGGGAAGAAGCTCTTCCCCAAACAAGTTCAGATTAGAGAAAGCCTCCGAGAGAGGACAAAGGATGCTTGTCTCCTCCCTTGGGGCCCCAAGAAGAGCTGGGTGGCTTTTGATGTCTTGGGGAGATATGGGACTCAGAGAACCTCGGTTGGAACCCTGCCTGACATTTACCAGTGTGTGATCTATCTTCAGATACACTTTCTAATCCTTCCGAGCCTGCATTTTCTCCATTTGTAACTGGAGATTAAAATCACCTACCTTAGAGAGTTGATGTGAGAGGCAGATGATTAAATACCATCAAAGCGTAAATTCACCTACTGTGCTGTAAAGACGGTAGAGACTTTGTCACTTAATAAATAGTTATTAAGCATTTACTAGTAGCTGGGCGCAGCGCCAGGTGCTGGCAATACAGTACTGACTCGTGGAATTTAAGGACTAGTGGGAGTCAGGCGCCGTGCAATTATAAATAAGCAAATAACTCAGAAGTGAGAAATGACAAAGTACTGTGTGCTACTGGAGCATCTAAAAGTATGACAGTAAACTTGAGGTGAGAGCTCAGGTTTGGGGAGAAGAGCAGACATTTTAATTCATTACCCAGTGCCCTACACCTCTAGCAAATACCAAATAAACTCTAGTATCACTTTCCTTCTTCCTTTTCCATGAAGGGCCAGACCTGTCTGCCTGCTCCCCCAGATCCTAGTACAGTACTGCTCACAGGTTAGCGTCCATTAAGTAAGAATGTGCTTAAAAGAAAAAAAAAAAAGTCAGAATGTGCTTTCCAAGATAAGACCACCTGAGCTCCTGGTTCCCACGTGCTGATCCAGTCAGAGCTAGACCATCGCCATTCACAGTAATTCTACTAAGTTGGTTGCCTGGCTCTCACTCGGGAAATGCATAGTGCCCCTGGGGCCTTGCTTTGGCATTATGTGACTCCTGCTTACCTGAGATGTAGACCTCATTTTTTAATGTGACGCATGCAAATTCCACCCACTTCTTATTATCACTCTCCAGCTCATGCTCCGTCATGGGGAGCTTGGCCACCTCCAGGCGGCTGCGCCGCAAGGGGTCCAGGCAGGTAACCTCCGCCACAAACCGTTCATCCTTCGTGCAGCCACCAATGATCATGAATACCTCAGACTGAAACTCATGCATCCTGGGCTTGGTGCGCTCCGAAATGATCTGGAAAACCAATGGAAGTACGTAAAGGCAGGATGACACAGAGGTTCAGAGCCCAGGCTATGGAGCCAGACTGAGCAGAACCCAGTTCCCAACTCTGCCACCATGTGACCTCACCTTGAGCCTTAGCTCCATCATCTGTGTAATGGGGACTTTAGTGGTAACTACCTCATAGGTCTGTGGTGAAGATGAAATGGTATCATGTATGTAGTGTGCCTGGCTTGCAAGGGGCCCGGGGTATAATAGATACTCAACAAAGCTTACCTATTGTTGCTTTTGCTGCTATCTTAAGAAGTCCTGGTCCGTTTATCATCAAATGCACTTCACCCTTCCCGCCCGGTCTGAAGGCTTGAACCTTGGAATTTCATTTCTGGCCACCTTCCACCCCTTTCTGGTTTCAATTTCTTAATGATATCCCAGACTTTGCTCACCACTAGATCTCTTCTGAAAGAGGAGTCCTGATGGTAGGCACACAGAGCACTTGGAGACTTAGGGAAAAAGAACCAAACGGGAGCATGGTGTGGCAAGGGATGTTGGAGGACTGGGTCCCAACATCAAAGATATGACCCTTCAGAGCCTTGAACAAGCAAAGAAATCCACATCACAGATATTTGAAACCAGCTGAAAGAACAGAAAGTCAAGTACACCAGAGTTTGGTCCTGGTTTCACCACCTGTGGCTATGTGACCTTGGAGAAGCAACACAATCTCCATAAATGCCTGAGATCACTTCTGTGTCATCAAGTCATTGTGAGCATTCATGCGGTTGTGATGCAGAGGCATGAGGGATGAGCAGAGCACCTAGCATAGGCACAGCCCTTAACAGATAGTCATGGCAGTAGGAGAAGCTAGAGATGGCATATTGGCATTATTAGGGAAAAGGGAGAGCTGCCCTTCTCCTGGTTCCATCCATCCCCTGGGCTCAGTGGGGAAGGTTCTACAGGTGGGCTGATGGGAGACAGTACCCATTTCCCAATGACCAAAGCAGCCTGCAAGGTCAGGCTGACCTCACACAGGATTTGAAATTTCAATCTTGACCACAGATGTAACCAACAAGTTATAGTAGCAAAAACTGCCCCCTCAAGTGGTGAATCCAATCAATGGTCACAAGTAAGCCGACCAGCCAACACCCAACCTCTACTTTTCCGTCAGAGACTTTGGTTTCTGTATCAAAGAGTCAGATACAGTAAATTTTGCATCCTCAATGGCCATAAAGTGTGTCACAGGGCTCTCCTTTGGAGGTCGGCAGAAAGAAGTGGGGGATGTATGTGGGGCAATGGGCAGAATCTGAGGGCACTGACAGTGGAGAAGACAGCTGGGGTAAGGGTGGGAGGGGTGGTCCTGGGAACTTGGAGTCACTGTGAGGATACCAAGCTGGCAGGACAGGATCTGAGCAATGAGTTGGCACCAAACGCAAATTTTGCCACTCTGTGATTTTCTTTCCCATTATCTGCCCTGCTTCATGCCCCTAAATCTCCCCTCCCCACAGTTCAGATGCAACCTCCAGGACCAATCTGGTCCTTTCAAAAGGATTAGGGATTGTGGAGCAACACTTAGAGGACAGCACTAGCCTCCCAGAATTGGTCCCTGTGTGACCTTTATTCCAGCTCTGAAAGCCAGGCCTCAGCCTTCCTCTGAAGTCCCCCATCTTCTTCACAGTGGCTGTCCTCAATAGCCTGCTGGCCAGACTGGACTAGCTGTGATCTTACTCCTGATTCCCAGCCTGGCACCCCATTCCTGAGTCCTGGGCTGTGGACGACTCTGCTCCCATTGAAACCCCTGCATTCCATGGGGCGCCTGGGTGGCTCAGATGGTTAAGCATCTGCCTTCGGCTCAGGTCATGATCACAGGGTCCTGGGATCGAGCCCCATGTCTGGCTCCTGGCTCAGTGGGGAGCTTGCTTCTCCCTCTGCCTCTCCCCCTGCTCGTGCTCTCTCTCTCTGTATCTCTGTGTCTCGAATGAATAAATAAAAAAATCTTAAAAAAAAAAAAAGAAACCCCTGCATTCCTACCTGCTATCTGGACCCCCCCATAATATCTGTCCTTGATTTCCCACACCACCTCCCCATCACTTACCCTTTAAGTCATTGGCATTATTTGTAATGTCCCTTTGCCCTTTCCTCTAAGAAGCCATTCTTGACTTTCTATACATGTTCCCACAGTCCTGAATTTCCCCATCACAGCACTTTTCCTACTTCCTTGTAATTTACTATAAGGTCCCTGATGACAGAAACAGCCCTTATTCTCCAATGGATCCTTAGCACCAAGAATAGTCTTGGAGATTGTGGGTTTCTATAAACATTTGTTGAATGAGTGAATGAATGAATGAATGAATGAATGAATAGGAGAACTAGGTAACCCAGGACCTGATACAGACTTTTTCCCAGTCTGGATCACGGTTGTAACCAGCTTCCACAGCGGCACCCAGCAATCCCCACCTCAGGGTATTTCCATCTTATGTTGTCCCCCCAGTATTGTTCCGGGGAGGCCTCTATGCCAGCAAAATACAGCAGAGGCGATGGTTTACCACTGCTGAAACTAAGTTATAAAAAGCACTACAGCTTTCATCTTGATGGCTCTCTCAGTCTTTCTGGGGCCTTTGCTCTGGAAAAACCAGCTACTATGGAGAGGCCCACATGGCAAGAAACTGAGGCTTCCAGCCAACAGCCAGCAAGGAACTGACACCTGTCAACAACCCTGTGAGTGAGCTTGGAAGTTGATCCTCCAACACTGTTTGAGCTTTGAGATGACTGTAGCCCCTGCCAACAGCTTGACTACAGCTTCATGAGACACTCCAACTAAACCAGGCCTAGATTCCTGTGAGCTGTGAAATAATAAATGTAAACTATAAAGTTTGGGGACAATTTATTATACAGCAATAGATAACTAATACAACACTCTAGTTGATGGAATTGCTGGGTATTAAGACCTGCCTTATCACTTGGCACCACAGAACTCCCAAGTGGTGGCACTATTACCAAATGTAAATTCAACTACATTTGACAAAATATTAACCCCAAAGGCATGACAAGGGCCAGTCTTGAAGTCAGAGATGTGCAAGTTTGTTGTAGACACACAGGAGGGTTTCCAGTGAATCACATGCAACAATCAGCCCTAACCAGTGTCTTTTCAGATTGTTAAAAATAGAACAGACAATTGCACCTTGCTGCCTATTCATTAACAGGGCCTATACTAGGGGACCACCAGAAATGACCGTGTTGCTTCAACAAAGCTGTCCTCAGGGGTGAGCCTCTGCCTCACTCAGGAGTGAGCAACACCACACATTTCAGAGCAGCCTTTGGTATAAATCAAGGTGGTCGCTGGAAACTTAGGAGGCAATGAAACAGAGGGGAAACTATCTCTGCCCCCAAAGATTTCTCTCAATGAAGGTACTAACTACCACTTCTAAATCAAATATAAATTGACGTCTGCTTTTAGGGTTCTAAAATCTCCCACTGTTGCCGCCTCCACGAGCTTAGAGGAGGAATATGGTTAAAAGGGGGAGATGATGATAGGACAAGAAGGTTTTAAGTTTGAAAAAGGAAGGTTAAGGGGAGAAGTGTGTTCAGAGAGTAGCCTCCAGACTTACACCACTATTACCAGGAGGAAACCCAAGATCATTCAAGCAGTGAGCAGACAGGGAGTTTCAGGGAATGAACTGGCAGTGAGACCTCGATTCGAAGATCACAGTGGTTGTTTGGTTCAGTTACCCAGACTGTAAAATGGGAATGAGAAAGTGCCCTGAGGATTTGGGACAATTATGCAGCAACCCTTAGACACAATGAAAAGAGAAATCTGGGATGCCTGGGTGGTGCAGTCGGTTAAGCGTCTGCCTTCGGCTCAGGTCGTGATCCCAGGGTCCTGGGATCGAGTCCCTCATCAGGCTCATTGCTCAGCGGGGAGCCTGCTTCTCCCTCTGCCTCTGCTCCCCCTGCTTATGCTCACTCTCTTTCTGACAAATAAATAAAATCTTTTAAAAAAAAAGAAAAGAGAAATCTTAGCTTCAGAGAAAGAAAATGCTTGGTTGTGAGAAATAGTGCACCATAAAGGAATTGAGAAAGAATGAGAACAGTCTTCATTTGTGGGGCCTTACCATGCACCAGACACTGTGCTAACCACATCTCATTTATTATCCTATTTAACTCTCAAAACAATTGTAACAGTTGGTAGGCATTATTATCTCCATGTTACAGGTCAGGACAGAGCTTTCAAGCAGTTAAGTAGCTTCCCCAAGGTCACACAGTCAGTAAATTGTGCAGTCAAGATTAAAGCTCAGATCTGCCTAAATGCAAAGCCCATGTCCTGCCACTGGAAACTCTTCCAGATATCAGAATTCTCTCTTTTCCTAAATCCAAAATTCATAATGCCACTTTCCTCCACACTGCAAATACCAAAGTCAGAACACATACTTCACAGCAGCAATTTTGCAGAAGGGAGAGCAGAGATATCTTATATCAGCAGAAAACCTTTATCACCTGCATTTCAGGGACTTAGGAAACAGGAAGCAGAAATAAAAGTAGCTAGAATATTGGAAGTGTAGTTGATCAAGACTCTGTACTTTGAATGCTAAACTGAGAGCAGCTGCAGAGACAGACACTGTCTGCAGTTTTATGAGGGCTTTGATACCCAATGCTGAGCCATCTGCCAGTGACCCACATACCCAGCATAGGGTAGGACCCATATGGTTGCCTGAACTCCCTCCATCAGTCTACTCATCACCGTTCATTTGCTTACTGTCTTGGCTTCTCTGACAGACCATAAATTTCATAAGGCAGAGACTCTTTCTGTAGTGCCTGGTGCCATATCTGGCCTACAGCTGGTGTTCAGAATTTATTTGCAAAAACTACATACAGACAGACAGACATAAAAGTATAGCCTATTAAAATATATGGGATGCTGTTAAAGTAGTGCTTGGGGGAAATTTATAGCACTACTGACAATACTAGAAAAAGAGTTCTCAAATCAATGACTTCAGCTTCCACTTTCTTTTCTTTTTTTTTAAGATTTTATTTATTTATTTGACAGAGAGCGAGAGGAGGAACACAAGCAGGGGGAGTGGGAGAGGGAGAAGAAGGCTTCCTGCTGAGCAGGGAGCTCGACGTGGGACTCGCTCCCAGGACCCTGGGACCATGACCTGAGCCAAAAGCAGACTCTTAACCGACTGAGCCACCCAGGCGCCCCATCAACGTCCACTTTAAAAAAATAAGAGAAAATTAAATCCAAAGTAAGCAGAAGAAAGAAAATAATCAAGACCAGAACACAAGTAAATGAAATAAATCATAAAAACAAGTGAAACCAGAAGCTGTTTCTTTGAGAAAATTGATAAAATTGATAACCCTCTAACCAGACTGATCAGGAAAAAAAGAGAGGAGACATAAACCACCAATATCTGGATGAGAGATGTGACATCACTATAGATTCTACGGATATTAAAAGGATAATAAAGGAATGCTGTGAGCAACTTTATGCTAATAAATTTCACAACTTCTATGAAATGGGAAATTCTTTGAAAGACACAACTACCAAAGTGTATTCTAGAAGAAATAGATAGCCCTATATCTATTAAAGAAATACAATTTGTAGTTAAAAACATCACAAAGAAAACTCCTGGGGCACCTGGGTGGTTCAGTTGGTTGAGCATCAGACTTGATTTCAGTTGGGGTCATGATCTCAAGGCTGTGAGATTGACATCGGGCTCCACGCTCAGTGCGGAATCTGCTTGTCCCTCTCCCTCCCTGACTTGCTTTCTCACTCTCTCTAAAATAAATAAATAAAATCTTAAAAAAAACCACAAAAACTCGCTGATTCTGATAGTATCACTAGTAAATTCTACCAAACATTTAAGGATATATTTACAGAGTGAGTCAATGACAGTAGATCTGAGGACAACACAGAACTAGAAAACGACACACAAGAAAAGAAGGAGGCTCCAGTGGCCTCATACAGACAATTTCTAAACCACCTGTGGCTAGGATCTACCAATGGCCTAATGAAGGTTTGGAAGCCTATCCTAGAACTATTGTACAGTGGTATATAAGTGTGTGTGTCCATGTGTATAAACTTAACACACTGTCCCTATATTATTATTTCCTGAGGGTTTTGTTCCTCTCCACTAAGCCTATTTTTGTATTTATGAAGTTTTGAATAAAACATTTCTTCAGAAGTTGTTAAGGAGAACCAGATATATCCAAATGATATGTGTATTCATCATCTTGGTACCCATTTATTTATTCAACATTTACCAATCGCTTACTCTATACCAAGGATTCTCGTAAGGTCTAGAGATGAAAAGTCCAATAATACATTTTTCTGACCATAACAAGCTGCCAGTATAGAGACATTTACAGATGAGGAAGTCAATGGTTACCATGTGGTGGCTGGTGTTACGACAGAGCAATGCACCAGGTGCTATGAGAATGAGAGAGGTCTCTGAAGAAGGTGATGCTTTAACTTTTTGCAGCTGGAGTAGAAGTCAACTAGATGGAGAGAGGAAAAAGGCACTTGAACATTAGTCTGCTTTAGTGGATGAAAAAAGCACATCCACTTTGAGGAATTGCAAGCAGTGCATTAGGAGCCTAGCAGGAGGGAGAGGCTGGAGACGGCATTAGAGAAGTGGGTGGGAGGTGAAGTAGGCGAGGCTCGGCTCTGGGAGCGGAGGCAGGAAGTGTGTGGGCTTTAAGTCATGGGGAGCTGTGAAGAGGGTAAGCCCAAGAACACAATAATTAGGCTTGAGTTTTAGATCATCCAGCTGATGAATGAACTGGAGGGAGGCCAGACTGAGGGCAGGACAATGAGTTTTGAGGAATTTTCAGAAATTCAGGAAGGAAATAATGACAATCGGAACCAAGGTAACATCACAGGATATCCAAGAGACTCGTGGTTCTCCAGAGAGGGCAAACGAGGAAAGCGGTACTCCTATGGGATGGCGACCGGACAGGGCACATCCTGTCCTATGTGTGTCACCCCCATCAACCTCCACCCTACGCACTGGGAAGAGGAAGGATGTGCTGAGTGGTTTCCTATCTCACTCAGTCCACTCAGTAGCTGTTTATAATGTGGTATCAGCCCCATTTTACAGATCAGAAATCCAGCGCTTCTGGAACTGCCTGACTCAAACCATGAACAGTGCAGCGTCTTCTTCTCCATGCCGTTCCTAAGGATTGGTAAGCCAGCCTCACCTATATTTCTGTGAGGGCGCTGACTCCTCTACTTTGCCGCTTAACTACAGGGTCGCTCATCAACTCACCTCATTGCCTGAAAGGTGGTACATCCTGGCTTCCTGAAGCAGTGGGAAGACCTCTGGGCACTGTCTGATAAGAGGATCTGCCTCCACCGTCTCCACAAAGTACCACGGGTCCAGAAGTGGCAAGCGCACATTCTCAAGGACATAGGGAAGCAAGCAGAGTCGTTCTGACTGTTTGTGCCGGACCCAGCTCATCACAGTCTCAAACACCTGAGCCTCCTCAGTTACATAGAGGTCATCACTCTTCAAGATGTGGTACAGAGTATCCACAGGAAGTTCGAGGAACTCCTCAGAGTTCAGAATCTGCACAAAGTTTTGAATGATGTAGTTTTGAACCTGCTTCTTCAGACTGTCCAAGGAGTGTGTGTCCGCCAGCCTCAGTATTCCAACACAGTTTTCGGGGTTCAAGGCTTCTGTTAGGAAGCTGGCACAGGCATCCACCATCCGCAGGAACTAAGAGAACAGAAGGGAGGCAAATCAGGCCAGAAAACCATTAGTCCATAGGGAGCCTTATCAGCAAGTCGTGTGTGGTGGCAAAAAATTAGAACAATCCAGGGCGCCTGGGTGGCTCAGTTGGTTAAGCGACTGCCTTCAGCTCAGGTCATGATCCCGGGGTCCTGGGATCGAGTCCCGCATCGGGCTCCCTGCTCTGCGGGGAGCCTGCTTCTCCCTCTCCCACTCCCCCTGCTTGTGTTCCCTCTCTCGCTGTGTCTCTCTCTGTCAAATAAATAAAAAAATCTTTAAAAAAAAAAAAATTAGAACAATCCAAATGACTGACAGTAGGAGACCAGCTAAAGAAATGATGTACATTCTTATTTTTGGCAACTCTGTAGTCATTAATATGACATGTAAAAGAATATTAAATGATATAGAAAATGCTCATAATGTATTGAGTTTAAATATCTGTTCACTGAATCTGATCAAGCCTCTCGATTTAATCAGCAATTTACAAGAAATCATCATTCTTATAAAAATATGAGTCCCTTATGCTTATATAGCAGAAAGAGGAACACGTTAAATGGCACCATGGGAATATACAATCAGCAAAATCTGGACTGTGAGAAACTTTACAGAAAAACCAGTTCAGTTTCTTCAACAAATACATCACAAGGGGGTAAAGGAGAGAGAGAAAGACGGGGAGGAGGAACCTAGAAATGAAGAGAGATGTAAGAGACACATCAACCTCGTGCAAAGTCTGGACCTTATTTGGATTAGTGTTCATTTTAAGTGTGATAATGGTATTATGATTATGTTTCGAGAAGAATCCTTGTGTTGGGGTGCCTGGGTGGCTCAGTCGTTAAGCATCTGCCTTCGGCTCAGGTCATGATCCCAGGGTCCCGGGATCGAGCCCTGCATCGGGCTTCTTGCTCAGCGGGAAGCCTGCTTCTCCCTCTCCCACTCCCCCTGCTTGTGTTCCCTGTCTTGCTGTGTCTCTCTCTGTCAAATAAATAAATTTTTTTTAAAGAAGATAAATTATCATCATTCTTATAAAAATATGAGTCCCTTATGCTTATATAGCACTTAACCATTTACAAAGCACTGTCATATCCATTATATTATTTAATATTCATTTTACAGATGAGGTGTCTCAAATGCATCAGTTCATTCTTTTTTTTTTTATTTTAACGTAACACATGCAGTGTTATATTAGTTTAAGGTGTACAATATTCAAATGCATCAGTTCATTCTTATTCACTGCTCTCTGGAGCTTAGCTTTGAACAAGTCTAACTTCCTATCTCCCCTTCCTTGTCCACGGGCCAGTAACGGGTCAAGTTCTCAGTGTTCTTGGGTTGATGAATTAATTAACAGGAGGGAAAAAGGAAGGCTGAGTGGAGAGGACCTGGTGGGTAGGGCCAGTCTGAAGGCAGTCAGAAAGCCCAGTGAGAGTTTGGATGGGACAGACCTGCATCCAATGGGGTGTAACCTGCAGAGGAGACACTCCAGTGACGAGCTGAAGGTAGCAGGGTTGGGAGGCCTGAAGGGTGGAGGTGGGGGTAGGACTGGTCTTAGAGTGAACCATATTGATTTAGGCTCCGGCCTTCACTCCAAAGCATTCTAGGATTTTTGGGTCAATGCCAATTGCAACATATTATCTTTCCATGTCAGAACACTCATTCCAGTTGTAGGTTTAGAAAACATTGACTGAGGGTCAATGAAATGCTGGAGAAGTTGGGCGCCTGGGTGGCTCAGTTGGTTGAGCGACTGCCTTCGGCTCAGGTCATGATCCTGGAGTCCCGGGATCAAGTCCCGCATCGGGCTCCCTGCTCAGC